TTGCGCGACTGGAACGCAATTTACGTTATCATCGCTGGTGCCCAAGTGCCATTTTATACTGGACGCGCATGTTGAGGCGTACAGAAGACGGCTGAGTAATGTCGTAGACCGAAAAGAAACCGCCAAGAGGGTTTTATCGGGTCTTTTCTTCCTCGTTCTTTCTTTTTTCTCTGTCTTTCTCTCTCTCGAACGATCCGTGATCCTTCCAGCACGTTGATCGCTTTATAACCGCAAAATACAAAGGTGCACCGTGAACGTAATGGCGTGACTTGAAATTTTTATAATCGAGATGCGAAAGAAAAATCGGTGCTAACTTTCGAGAACATTTATCTTGTATCTGTGATATTTTTCATAAATATTATAATATTTTTCATGTTTTTATATTTTGTATTGAAAATATTTTGATATTTTATGTTTAAAATATTCTCATATTTTATATTTAAAATATTTTGATATTTTATATTTAAAATATTTCATATTTTATATTTAAAATATTTTGAGATTTAATTTTTATATTTAAAATATTTTTCATATTTTTATATTTTATATTTAAAATATTTTGATATTTCATATTTTTCATATTTTTATATTTTATATTTAAAATATTTTGATATTTCATATTTTTCATATTTTTATATTTTATATTTAAAATATTTTGATATTTCATATTTTTCATATTTTTATATTTTATATTTAAAATATTTTGATATTTCATATTTTTCATATTTTTATATTTTATATTTAAAATATTTTGATATTTCATATTTTTCATATTTTTATATTTTATATTTAAAATATTTAAAAAATTTCTATATTTTATATTTAAAATATTTAAAAAATTTTTATATTTTATATTTAAAATATTTTCATATTTTATATTTAAAATATTTAAAATATTTTCATATTTTATATTTAAAATATTTAAAATATTTTCATATTTAAAATATTTAAAATATTTTCATATTTTATATTTAAAATATTTTCATATTTAAAATATTTTCATATTTAAAATATTTAAAATATTTTCATATTTTATATTCTTCATATTTTTATATTTTGAATAATTTCGCGTCAGTCGTCATTCTTTATTACTGTCAAAGCGACTCACGCCACTTTCGAATTAAACGGCACACGTGATTCAACTGTAACTGGAGCAGACGGAAAGTGGTCTTGAGTTTTTGTTTCATCGCCACGGCCCGAGGTGACTCCTTTTATACAGTAAGAAGACATTGGCACTTTCTTTTTTTTCTTTTTGACGATATCTTTGTGAAAACAAATAATGTATTATCAAAATCTGTTTCCATAGATTGTAGACACAAGTAGAATGTTGATCATTCGAATCTCGATTATCCGAATGCAGTCGACACGTAAATTTAAATTATACATCGAGCGATATGTTATATTTCGGTACATGCATGCTCTTGGCGAGCCGCCTTTCATTTAGGCCACGAAAATATTATTATTAAAGAGGAAAATAGTATTGCTGAAATCAGAAAATAAATTGAATATTATTGAACGTGACACTTGCACGACCGTATCAAAATATTGTACCTGTAAATCATTATAATTCAGGCGACAATTAAAATCATGTAAATAGATTTACATGATTATTCCGTTTCAAACAGAAATTAATATTAATTCTGACAAGAATATTCTGCGCATATTTTAAGTAAGTCAAAATCTGAAAATCTGAAATCGGTTATGCTGACGAGTCCGAGTCGTTAATTATAACGTTGAGATATAATAAAATTATTACAATTATTCATAAAACTTCTACAATGATAGCTAATAATATTTCTAATAATGAGATTTAAATAGTAAATAATTTATTTAATTTAAAGTTCAATTTATTTAATTTAAGTTTAAGTAACATTCAATTTATTTAATTTAGTTTAAGTAACATTTCTTATACGCTACTCTCATTTCAAATATCCCGCTGGCGTTAGAGCTATAGAGAGATGCAGTGGAGGGGATTGCTTTATCGAAAGTGGGGGCACGGGCCGCCAATTCACCACCCATAATAATAACATACTTCACAAATTCTTTGTTGTATAAAGTATTATTTATTTAATATTAATACTTCATAAATTCTTTGTTGTATAAAGTATTATTTATTTTAACAGTAATATCATTAGTACATATTTTATAGTACAATCGTTAATATATCAATTTTTTACAATACTTTACAAATTCTTTGCTGTATGAAACATTATCTTCATCAATTATATTAAATATCTAACGTTTATTTCATGATATTTTATAAAGTATTTTCTGAAGTATTGTTAGCAGGTATTATTTAATTTATTAGCAATATTATTGATATTTATTTCATCACTAATATAGTTAGTATCATCTGTTTTACTATGGTAATATTATCAGTATTATTTAATTTAATATTAATTAAATTTTAGTATTATTTTAGTAATTAGTAGTATTTATTTATTATATATTAGTACTAAAATAATAATATAATATATACAATAATAAATAATAATATATATTATTATTTCAATAATTAATAATATTCATTTCTTTTTGAAATAAATATACAATTTTCAAATAACTATAGAACTTGTCCACTCTGCGATTTTCTTCAGTTTTAAGTCATACTTCAATGGACTTCAGTGACTAAATATAATATACATATATAGATCAAAGTAGAGCAATCTATACAGATTATTCAATTCATTATCGCGCACACGGAAAATTTCAAAACACTCTTGATTCAAAACATAACTCACAGAGTGAATGTATTTAAAAGTTGCTTGCGCAATAATAGAGAAAGTAACTGGATTAATTCTCTTTCGTGGCAGAGGTTACTCGTGTGTTGTGTCATAATTTCGGTAATAACCGAGTTTTTCGATCATTTGGAACAATACCGCGGAGTTCCTAGTCCTCCGTATTACGTGGATACTCTAAACTGACGTACACCGAAGTCCGCGTTTAATTACGAAACTGACGAAGAAAGCCTGTTCTTAATAAGAATCCGTCAGGTGAATGTGGTATTGTCGCATTCACGGAATTTTCTCATGCAAATGTCTCTTGCTTTGTCGTCTTCACACCAGAAGCCTCTACCTACGTCAATCTTCAAATATACTGGGTGTTTCTTGTAACTTGTAAGCTGATTGTACGCCTAAAAATAATGAAAAAAAGTCATATAAATGTATGTCCTATCTGTCTTCGTTTATGAGATGATAATGAATTTTCTGTTTCAATTACTTTTACAAAAGATGCTCGAAATAACCAGCTTGGATTTGAAGACAAGCCTGCACGCGTCTCGTCATTCATCTGGTTACTCTCTCTATCATTCCTGGTGTTCCTCGGAATTTGTCGGAAGCCTTGCTCCATTCTATTTCGTAGTATTTCAGCATGTTCAGTCGATGTTGCGTATACAATAGATTTTAAATGTCCCCGCAGATGAAAATCTAATGGATTCAAATCCGGAGAACGAGCAGGCCATGCAATAGCACCTCCACGACCGATCCATTTATTTGCAAAGTGTTGATTGAAAAATTGCCTAGCCACTCGGCTAAAATGCGGCGGAGCTCCATCATGCATAAATCGCATACGTTAAGTCTAATATCGACTGGAACTTCCTCTGATATCTCGTGTAAACGCGTGCTCAAAAAATCAACGCACTTTGTGCCTGTTAGTTTCCCATCAAGAAAAAAAGGTCCAATTAAAAATCTATCAATTATTCCTGCCCATACGTTTCAACTAAACTGGCGTTGATGTCTTGAATGCACAATAACATGTGGGTTTCCTTCATCCCAATTATGATTATTATGAAAATTGAATATACCATCCC